AGATGATTGTGCCTAAAATTAAGATGATGAGATGTGCTAAAGTAATACCATGGTGGATGTTTAGGAGGTCACATGGGAGTAAAACGAACTTTGTTGAAGATCAGAGAGAGATTCTACTGGATTCACTGTCGAGATGATGTGGAGAACTGGTGTCGCAAATGTACTACTAGTTGTGTGGCTGCCAAGGGACCTCCTACTCATAGTAGTTGTTGTTGAAAGTTGTAAAAGCTACAAGCAAAATGGGATGGACCCTACCGAGTTATGACGAGGAACAACGATGTCACATATCGAATACAGAAAAGTTTACGAGGAACGCCGAAAATTGCGCCCGTCGATCGATTAGCGCGGTATAATGGCACTAATCATGCTCGGGACGAACATGTCTAATGAGGGGGTAGTGTTACGGAGCACAGTGGCGCGGTTCGTCTACACATTACTAGATGGCGTTATGCGCTAATGAATTGCGCTAACATTGTTGAAACTACCTGTGTCATATAGGTACATATCGGGTCGGCGCGTAACGGGGAGAGGAAGCAAGGGCGGAGTAGCTGTTCTAGAACTTTTTGTTAATGTCTCGAATACACCGGTAGGGCCGAAGAAACACTTATAATGTTCTAGATCCCAACTTAGAATATTTGAGATGTGGTATCGGCCCCTATAAATACGCGGTGGACTACCCGTCTCTGTATTTTTCAGTGAACAAGCCATCTGAATGCAAAAGCGATAGTAAGCGAAACTCGAAGTAATCTAATCTACTAGTGTTGTGAAGTGAAATAGTGGAGTTGATATGTGAAATTTGAAGTCGAATTTATATTATTTTTGTTATTTTATTGATTTAAATAAATTCGGATTGTGAACTATAATTGGCGTTAATTTTGCCGTAACAATATTCTTACATTCTTATACAGAGATACTACCTTTTCCCTTTAATACCAATTATTAGTTTTTGATAGTAATTTAAAGAGAATGGAGTTCAATGAAAGCTTTTAGAAGAAAATAGCTCATGGAAATACATTTTCCATGAAGATGAAGTTACGGGCAAAAGCTAGTAACTCTATACCCATAATGTATAAACCTAAAGACCTTTGTTCGGGGTCCCAGGTGATGTCAGCCGAGGCGGTTTAAGCCCAATTGAATCTGAAAACGAAGTCCATTCAGAGAAAATTATAATGAAAATTAAAAATTATATGGTTCAATATTTCTTTTTCCAGTTTAATAATTATGTTTATTATTTGTATTTAAGCTATGTTTACAATTAATGAATAGGCTTCAACTACCATTAAGTTATACACAAATAATAATGATAATATCTTCTTGCTTATTTGACTCAACTGAAAATTGTCACATAAACACAGCTATTCATTCCAAAACTTTTTTCTAGTAATTAATTCTGATGCTATACTGAAAAGTATTCTTAATGAAAAAAGCTTAAAAAATCCACTTTGTCCCTGGGACTCTGAGATGGGACTCGTACCAATGTTATTATTACAAGTGCTTCAGCAGTCCTGTAAGGTCCTGGGTAGCTCAGTGGTTAGAGCAGTCGCCCGGATTGCAAGAAGTCATGGGTTTAAACCCCATCTTGGAGGATTATTTTTGTTGATTTTTTAAGCATTTTTCATTAAGAATAAACAGTTGGTTTTCAGAGAGAAAATAAATAAATACGAAGTTGTTGCTGACCAATATTAATAAGATGATTATTTATTTTCCTCCCAGATGATAGGATATCATTTATCTCAATGCAACTACAATGAACGGGTAAGTCCACTACTTTTATCGAAAAGACCCCACAAATACAGAAATAGACTGATATATCTTTCTTCATATTACCTGTCTCGTAACAAATTGGCTGTTTCTTGCAGCTTCAGTGCGCCAACAGTAAGCTGGGCTTTGGACGGATTACGACTACACGCCGTCCACTGAACCAATTTAATACTGTATCAATGACGTCTAAGCGGTTATAAATTGTAAAAAAAAGGCAAAACTATTAGGCAATCTTTATAGGATAATTCATTTATATTTAGAGATTAGAACTGCTCTTCCGTTGGAAGGAATTAACTTTAGGTCGTTTTTATTTATAATGGTAGTATAATTTGATACCCTTAGTCTTTGGTAAAAAGCGAAAACACCAGCGTTTATTAAAATATAAATATTTACCCAAAAAAGTCTGCAAGATCCGTTGGTTTTAATTGAAAAATAGCACGGAAGTAGGTATATTAAATAAGCTTTACATTTTTTATAATAGAAAAAAAATAACGACATGGTTTTACATAAAAATCATGTTCTTAGTGAAAACTTTTATTTGATATCCGTATTATGTGAGTGTATCTCTTTTTGTGTTCTGTGGTATGTTTAGGCTTAACAATAAGACAGCTTTAAAAAATAAGTAAACCTTACTTCGCCAAAATAGATTTTAAAATTTAGTTAAGGCACAAGATAACTCTTCATTGTCATCCAAATTAAACCTGTTTCCAAAATTTTAGCTTAATCGTTTAGAGGATAACGAACTGGTTTCACGCGCGTGGTATTGTTTTAAACACGTTAACCTTCCTCTTGAATCACTCTGTATATTGATGAAGACCGCTTTAAAATCCATTGTGTAGATCTTAACATACAGACAGCGAGAAACTTTGAAAAAGACTTTGCTTTACACTACGTTTATTAAAAAGTGTTTTTTTAAAGGGCCGTCGAAAGAGCCCTAAGGACGAGTGGACAAAGTTCTTTTGTTTTATGTAAGATATAAAATGTAATTAATAATTAGGAACTTTCAGTTTGATACTCTTCAAAGTTTGTAAAAAGTTCTTATTCTGAAATATCAGAAAGTGCCAAGGAGAATTTAACCAATGCGTTTCAATATGTATATCACGTACTTTATTCACGCCTAAACGCATCGTCGACTGTCGCAGCTTTTACTCGCGTCTAGTGTCCGCCATGCGCCATTCCCTTGGTTCCGGTTCGCTTCTGGCGGGGTGCTATTACGCCATTAAGATTAAATTATGCGTGACGTAATAGCGCACTTTCTTTTCTGTGTGACGTGCCCAATAAGAAGTTTTTCGTTTTAAAAGTGTCAAATATCGAAGACATCGAAACAGTAATTTAAAAAGAGTAAGTAAAAATACAAAATATAAGTCAATCAGCATTATTTTAGTAAAAAACCGGTCAAACGAAAATGTTATTTCAAAAAACATAGACTTCTAATAGGTTTTTCTGTAATTTTTAGGCAAAAAACTATTTCCTGTTTTTTTATTTTTTTTTTATTTTAGAGGCTATTTGAGAGAAGGGGAAAGGGTCAATATTATCTTTTTTTTAATAATTATAAAACTGATAATTTAGGTCTTTTTCTCAACATTTTACACTCTTATATATATATATATATATATATATATATATATATATATATATTTATATTTATATATATATATTTAAAACATACCAAATTATTATCTAATTTAGTGTCGTTACAGTCACTCTAGAACACATATTGTGGAACTTACTTGTATTCTGTTTTTTTTTTGTGTATGATATAAAGATCATTCTATCTATCTATTTTCTATCTATCTTTCTCTATCTACTAATTATTTAAAATTACCTCAATAAATTTTTCTATTTTAAAATTTTAATTATAGTTTCGATGGTAATCTAATATGTTTATTGATCTACCGTTGAAGTTTATAAATACATTACCAATCGGAACCCTATAAATACACGTAGAAGAGAAACACTGGCTGTTACACCCTGCGTTATAAGAGTTATTTTTGGGTTTAATGTGGTTTTGACATTTTTTATCTTCATTTTCATAAAATTTTAAAACCTAACATGTTTAGCGTTTTTGTAAGGCTCGAGCTCGTCATGATGCAAATAAAAATTTATAAGCAACGTGTGTTTGCGGTGATTTAATTTGAAAATACTGACACGCTGATTTCATTCGTGTTTCACAATACAATTTGATTTATTTCCTTGTGTAATGAAAAATTATACTATGAGGGTCGGCCAAAGGGATTGAGGAAAGAGTAAACATTTTTTACTCCCACTAGTCGTTTCGCTCGTTGTGGGTCAAAGTTAAGTAAAATAAAAACAAAATACAATTTTCTGAGAGAGAAGGATCTTATATAACACTTAAAATGTAAACCAAGTTGTGTTCCGGTTCAATGCCAAACTACGAATTGCTTATTTTGAGTTTATTCAACCACAGATCTGATTCAGCTCGGCCTACACTATTCCTTGTGTAATCACACTAAATACTTAACCACACGAATAATAATTAATCAATGAAAAAAGAAGTATCTATTCATTCTTTTATTTTTCTTTCCATTGTTTATATTCAGAACTGCGTAACGAAATAAAACCTTTATATTAATCCAGTACATCTCTTTACAAAAGTTCCATGTACCGCAGATCGCTTACGAATGCATGTCGTTGAAAATATTCGTTTTTTTTTATTTCATCGTGCACAGCTATTCGACTGAAATGAAATGCTTACTGGAGTTCCATTGATCGTTGAATTCAGGTTTTCATTGGTACATAAATCGGAAGCGTTGTGAATTATTTGAAATGTTTTCATTTTGAAAAGTAGGTCATATTCGGTTCTGGATAATTAAAGAATCGAAAGTTTAATATTAAATACTGTTTGTTCACCGATATGACATTTTTTTACGGTTCCATAACTCAAAAAGAAATAAAGGAAATACAGGATTACTCATGTACATCTGTCTGTCTGACAATGCGTTTGATGAGAACAACTGAACCGATTGAGTAAAAAAACACTAATGCGACAATCAATGGAAAGATTTTAAAATTCAAACGTTTTGCGATATTTCTTTTTTGTCAATTGCTGGCAATGGAATTTACCAAATTATGATTGCTATGGTTCTTTATTTCCTTGAGAGTCATAATATCATAACATCCAATGAATATTTACAAACACATGACCGACATTATTGATTTGAAATTCAGTTGTTGATTAATAACAGATGTAGTTAAACGCTCGTTAAATTATATTAGCTATGAAATATTATCATTTAAGCCTGCTGGTGATTCAAGTGACATGTTACAGTTTTCCAAAGAAATTTTGTGACATCGAATCAGACGGATTGACGAAGCAATGTTTTCTAAAAGAAACTTTAGTGTCAATGGCGCACAGTCCAAATCAATTAGCTGTTGATACCACTACAAACGATTTATACTTCAGTTTTGATTCTGGACAAGGTGAATATATTCCGGTTAAGGTCAATGTTGATACGAAAAAAGTGACCGTAATGAAAGGTATTAAAGATGCATTCGCTGTAGCATATGATTCGACAACTAAAGAAATATATTTCGGAGGAAGTTACGGCATTTATAACTACAGTCCTGCTAAGAAGCTCTTGAGGAGATTAGCAATAGGAAACTTAGATATATGGTGGCTGTTTGTCAAGAAGAATATTTTTTTTATAAAATTTCCAAGTTTGAATGCATTTTATTACGTGAACAAAACTGTCAAGTACGTACATCGATTGAAAACAAGAACGATGCATCAATTCGTCTATGATAATGATGAAAACATATTTTTTATTAACAGTACTGGTTTGTATGGTCTCAAAAATAACAGCAATGAAGCAGTCATGTTAAGAGATAGTCCCAGATTTTTAGGGATGACGCTAGATAACAAAGGGCAGTTGTACTTATGCAGTGAAGATGCAATTTACGTTCTCAGTAAGATTGTTCAGAAAGTGAAAAGATTAGTAAATGTACAAGGTGTATTGGGTCTAACTTTTGATAAGAATAATAATATGATTTATTCAGATTCTCATGACGTCGTCCGTTTGCTTGTTGTCTCCAATGACAATTATTACGACGCGCTGAATAGTGTAACGTTTTAGCTACTAATTTGGATATGCACTTTAGATGTTTTTTTTTTATTAAATCTTCCATAAAGGTTCTGTTTTATCATATCCTTTAACAAATGCTGATTTAAATACATTCTATAAATCATTATTGTTTCTTCAGTTATTCTACACCAACGTATCTTTTTATGATTTAGAGTCATTGAGCGTTATTAGCCTTATTACTTAATTACACTTCTGGCTCAATGTTCCATAGTGGGTTTTAGCTTCCAATACCAGTGCACGCTACCGCTATTCGTCCTATGCAACCTTTTGCCAGTTGTTTTGCTTATCAAACAAATAAGCAAGCTAGCAAGCAGGCAAGCATGCAGCATGCAGGCAAGCATGCAGCACGCAAGCAAGCATGCAGGACGTGAATCTCTCTCAGGTCTGATATCAGTCGATTTCGCCAGTGATAAACGGACGGCCCCAACACGTTAGACAGATCTGGTAAAATATGTAACGCACTCCGAAATTAACGAGTGCTTTCATCTCGCCAAACATTACGATGTTGTACGCCACATGGCCGAACATCGCAAGGGCAACGGTGTTTGAGTACTCGACCTCGAAACGACCACGACCTCTCTGATAAGAGTGCACGACTAAGAAAAAATCGGAAGGCGACCTTACAGTCGACCCAAATATACTTTCTTGATACTCCGATCTTCCCTACCCGTTCGATATACCTGTGCCATCGGATTCGTTGGCCATTAATTTCTACAATTATGTTGGGCTTCGAGACAAGGTTTTCGATTTCAGAATTATTGCACTCTCTAGCATACATAACAACCTTCCCTTTTAGTGGGCCCAGGATTTTCTTCCTGACAAAAGTTCGTCTTCCTTCTTTAAAGTTAATGTCCACGCCTCAAATCCTTACTTAAAAATAGGTTTTATGATGGTTTGTAAGATATTTTCTAGTAATTTATATTTTCTATTAAGGAGATAGAGTACGTTCCTTTTGTTGGGTTGCACTGCACCTCAGCGCGTTCTGGACGCGCTTCTCGATCTCCTTTTACGAGTCCGTGTTGGTGATGATGCAGCCCAAGTATTTGAAATTGTTATTGTTATTAGCTTTATATGTTATTAAAATATGATGCGTCATGTTTGTGATGTTTTATTTAAAAATTGATGCCATGAATGAATACCGTACATTATACCTGAATTTTGAAAATTGGAATTAGTACTCTAATTTTAAATCGATCTGGAATGATGTTTCTCTATATGGGTAAATTATGCAAAAACTAATTGCCATTTTATGATCTGCCATCTACTGTATGTCCGCGAATTTTGATTTATGAAAAACTCAAATGTAGTTTAAAACATTCTCCTGAACTTTACATCAGAATCCGCAACGAGCTATAACGCCTAAGCGAGTATCTGCATGTGTTCACCAATTGAGATTATGTAAGAATCATGTCAACACAACTATTTGGGTGGTACTAGACAATAAAAGAACCGACCGGTGCCCAATCAAAGTGGAACTCGCCAGCGATTTTCTCAAGGAATATGGTTGGTCAAGGTTGCATGTTTTATTTGTTATAACATACCTTTACACCCTATCTGAACATAGATCCCTCCCGCAGAAATATCTGAGTCTGAATTAGGTGTAGTAGAAAGTCATTAAATGTTTTTCTTTTGTGTGTGGTGCGGCTACTACAACTGAACACTCTTTAATAAAGGTGAAAATCAACGTCTCTTTAGACATAAAATAACGCGTTTTAAACATATAATTGTTTTAAACTAAAATAATACGAAAAAAATAATATTCATTAGAAATACAAATCCAGTACAATTAATCAATGTATCTCGAGCAGTTGCCAACGTTGCCATTGATTAATTCGGGCTTCTTAATGGGCTAGCCTTAACAATTAGGAGAAGAAAAACTTCAGCTCTCGCCACAACGCATTAGGGTAATATATTATCTTTTTCGCCTTTCCGCGTAAATGGGATTAAAGAAGAACAATGAATCTGTCTTATTGGTGTAGTGGTCAGAGGTTTCGACTCTAGAGGGCAAAGGGTAAAAGGTTTACAATTATAAACAAATATGCTTTGAATTCAGTTAGATATTATTAGATTGTATAAGACGGGTATTTACGATGTTTGATTAGGTTTTTAGGGTTACGCATCTGTAAAGGAAAAACGGAACCTGATAACAAGGGAGGATCAAGATTGTAAATAAAACTAGTAAACATGAATGTAATAGTTCAAAGCTAATTGCAATACAAAATTATGTATTACACCATCACCATCTTTTTAGACTCTAGTTCGATTCCAGGCAAAATGTCTCAGATATGTGTTTTGTAGTGCCTTCTTTAGAAATTTCCTTAATATAAGTGTTAAAAGCTACTTAATATGGGCTCTCAACAATGTGTGTCGTCCAATACAATTTATATTTATTTCTTTATACTTATAATAACTTATTTTTAGTGCCCTTTTGGTAATGTATTGTGTTTCTCAAACAAAACTTTAGTAAGCGTAATTGTATTAAAAAAAAGAGAGTCGTTGGCATTTTTTATGTATATAGAATTGATTCCATATTTAATCGCTGTTTTCTCTTTTAAGGATTCCGTTTAGTAATGGTTTATAAGGGTTGCTTAAATACCTATCTTCTGATTTGTTGGAATCAATTTTATCAAATCAAATATCAGAACAAATAAAAATACTGAGGAATGAATAAGCGTATTTTGGCTGCAAATACTTTTTAAATATATAAGGTGTAATATTATTATATGCCAGCACTTCGTGGGGTGGATTAGTTGAGTATACTGAACAGGAAGCGACACTGAATTCATGAAAACATATCATCCTGACATACAATAATATTATACTCTTGTAACCATCGTGACACAAATTTATCTGCTAAATGTTGAGCTAATGTCCACTGTTTTCTAAGATGTAGATCATTATCTGAAAATTTGCCAGATCATAAGCATGGGAATAGAAGATCCAATCAAGAAATGATAAGGAGTAAGAGCTTTTTGTTTATCTAGGTCTAGAGAGATATGCGTCAATGGACATCTTCTTTCGGAGATCGTATGTGGAGCATCGAGGAAAGAGTCATCTTTATAGATCTTACTAGATTTTCCCAAACTCCACCCATATGAGGGGCAGCAGGATGATTAAAAGTATATTTTATCTTTAAAACTATTCACTTCTTGTATTAGGATATTGTCCATATATTCTGTACCGATTTACATAGGTCCTTGTCTTCACTTTTCTTCTTATTAATCCAATTAATCCAATTAAAAATCTAACAGTATACAGACCATACCATAGTTGACAGAATAAACTACAATGTAATGAGATTCAATTTTAATGAAATTCACGAGTAAGAAATTTAAGCCATTATCTGAAAATATATTAGCAATTCTAATTGAAACTCGTTTCAAAAGCCGCTTTTCATATCCTGGAATAAAAACATTTGCATTACATACCTACTATTATGTCAAATGTTTGCTCTACGTTCTAATTTTGTAACATGTAACAGTAGATTCCCTGAGTACGGAAAATCAATGTAGTATACATATTTCGTAAGCGACACGGCCGACGATCGAACAATAATCAACAAAGCGAGCTACATTTACACCGAAGGGTAACTAGACTTGATGTACTATTTCTACTTGCAGTTCATGTTCATGCATATAGTTACAGTGCCTCGTCTGTTGTTTACAAATGTTGTCGCGTGTGTTATATGTGGCAAAAATAAAATAATTTCTTTTGTACGTATAACAAAACTATGAATAAGTAGATAAGACGGTAAATTAAATGAAACAACTTTTAAACGGTTTCATCGCGTTTGTATTTAGTTTTATAGATTTTTCGGACCCTTTACAGGTTCCGTGTTAACATAAGACTAAGGTGTTGATTGTCTTTTTAATTAAAAGTATAGCTACCTTCAAAAGCTAATACTATTCGACACATATACAATTCATTTTTTTAATATATTATGGCAACGTTTATATTCATTAAATTAAGTTAAATATTTTGTAAAATACATTTGACTTATTTATTTATCCCTGGTTACTGTAATCTACCACCAGTTGTAACTTTAGGAGGCTTGTCTGAGAAGAACTGGCGAAACAAACTTTGACAAAAAAAGTGAATTGCTCCCTTTGATTTAATATTTACAGAATGAACTAACTGTATATTTTGGTTTTGCAATGTGTGCAATCTGGATTGAGATTTTGCCAACCTTCATCGCTATAAAAATTCGGATGTTTTTTAATTTCAATAGCCTCGCGTATCATTCTTGGAATATATTACTCATTAGGATCCTGATCAAAGTTAGAGCCATACTGTGTATTGTACCTCAATAGTGACTCACTATTATCCACAGTTGCGTAACAACAGTTGTGCGGACAAAAAACTGGGTATACAGAAGTAATAAAGAAATTCGCTATTCATGTATGATCGATAAACCCTATAGAATAAAATAAATATTATTGAAAAAGTTTCAACATTCATCATATTCATCGTAAATCTATAAATTCGTAGGGAAACAGCCCATAGCCCTCTGATCAATGCAGATTGATGTATATTAACTACAAGTGCCGTTAGGGCAATTTAAGGTGCTCGACATAGCTTCTTCATTCATCTTCAGCCTATTAATTTCCCGACTGCTAGGGCTCAGGCTTTTCATGTAACTGGAATCGAATCGAATAGGGAGAATGGGTAATGACTATCTCGCAGATCCATAGCAAATTGGTGGATGTTACGAATGCAGATGTTGGGACTAACAACGTCTTAACGTGCCTTTAGAAACACGGAGGTGTTCGAGAAAATAAATTTAAGATCACTCAGACAATGACCGGCCTATACCAATGTTAAGCAACTTTCACATCGCAGATTGAAAGCATTAACCACTGCGCATAGTAAATGTTTATTTCATTACATCTTCTGTGTAAGCGGCGGCTAAGTTATCGTGCAGAATGAGCAAGTTTGATTGGTTTGTTTGCGGCGCGCGTGTTCAAACAGGGCAGGTGGAATAAGTGATTGTCACGAATCCTGGTAAACAGCTAAGCGTGCTGCTACAAAAGACGAAATTCCACGCTAATGTGATGCTTATTTTAAATAAAAAAGAGTCTAATACTTAACGAACGAAGTTGTTTGAAAGATTGTTAAGTACGTATATAACCTATTTTCGAAGCTTTTGCTTGGTAATTTTTAGGAATATATAAAGGCTTCATTATTTCTTGATATCATTTTTT